TTGGAGAGGGACATCATGCTTGGTAGGGTGGAGGGACAGTGCAGGAGGGGAAGACCCTCTATGAGATGGATTGATTCAGTGACTGGGGTAATTGGCATAGGTGTGTCAGAGGCAATGCGATTCGCACAGGATAGAGCAGGGTTTAGGGCTGTTGTACATAGAATCACTCTGAATTGCAAATGACTCGACGGCACATAACAACAACAACAATTGACAAAAAAAACCTCTTCAGAAATACAAATGTATAATTACTGCATGAATACCATTAACCTCCTGCAAACTCTATGAACAAAGAAGAATATGGGGAACTATAGTACAAGAGTAGAGGCCACTTTGGAAGTCAATCAAAATGAGGAGAAACAGCTGCAGTTGCCCTTCAAAAGCTGGAAAATGTATGAAGTATGAATGTTGGGAAATTAGAATGGAACACATAACATTGACATTCTAGGAATTAGTGAGGTGAGATGAGATGGATTAGCTTTGGCCACTTAGAATGCAACAATCATATCATATGCTATGCTGGAAATGAAAAGCAGAAGAAGAATGGTTTTACATTCATAGCTAAAAGACAGTTTCAAGTTTTATCCTGAGTACAGTGTTGTGAGTGATCAGATATCGTCCATATGCATGCAAGGAAGATCTCTTAATACGGCTATTATTCAGATATTCAACAAGAGCTGAAGCCAGAGAGAAAATTGAAGATTTTTTTTCATTTTGCCAACTTTTGCAGTCCAGAACTGACCAAACATTCAATCAAGATGCGTTAATGATAGCTGGTGACTGGAATTCAAAAGTTGGAAACCATGAAGAAGGAATATTAGTTGGAAAGTACGGGCTTGGTGACAGAAATGATAAAATGATTGAATTTTGTATGTTCAATGATTTATTCATCAAAAAATACCTTTTTAAAAAAATAAACAAAAGCAACTTTACACATAAACCTCACAAGATGGACTACATAGGAATCGATTGACTAATATGTGTAAGGAATCATTGGAGAAACTCAGTATCAGCAGTCAAAAACAGGCCAAGTGCTGACTGTGGAACAGACAATTTCATTCTTCATGTGAAGTTTAAATAGAAACTTAAGAAAATGAAAACAAGTCCACAAAAGTCAAAATAGGATCACGAGTCTATCCCACTACACTTAAAAACCATCTTAAGAATAAGTTTAAAGCACTGAACATTATTGACTGAAGACCAGATGAATTGATGACATCCATGATGAAAGCAAAAGGTCAAAAAACAAAATGCATGCCAGATGAAATACGGAAAATTGCACTAGAGCACCTAGAAGCTAAAATAAAGGGAAGAGATGCTGAATTAAAAGAACTGAACAGAAAGAAGATTTTGAAGGGTAGCTCAAGAAACAAAGCAAAATAAAATGGAATTTATAGACAGCTGAAATTGGAGAATAAAATGCAGAAAACTTACTCAGCATTTCTTACCCTGAAAGCATTAAAAACAAATTCAAACCTCAAGTAGCAATATTTAGAGATGCTAAGGGCAACACTGCATTGTTGAAAATTGGGAAGGGCGTATGCCAGGAATGCATCCTTTCTCCATACCTTTTCAACCTGTATGCAGACCAGATTATCCGGAAGGCTGGGCTCTATGAGGAGAAATGTGGGGTCAAGATTGGGAAGATCTATCAACAATCT